TAAAAAAACACGCTTTTAAAGCACATCGAACTAAAAAGTTAAAAATAATTTTTAAAATAAGCTTAAAACAATAATGAACGAAAAATACTAGTATTATTGTGATAAAAGCGTCGGGCGCTCAATATACGAAAAATATGGCACAAAGCACCCACGCTTTTATTACAATAATACTAGTATTTTTCGTTCATTATTGTTTTAAGCTTATTTTAAAAATTATTTTTAACTTTTTAGTTCGATGTGCTTTAAAAGCGTGTTTTTTTAGTTTTTTTAAACTATATTTATTTTTTACTTTTTAGTTTCAAGTTATGATAGTAGTTATGGTTGTAACGGGTAACGAGAAATGAGGGTTCGATTCCGGAGAGGGAGTCTGAGAAACGGCTACCACATCCAAGGAAAGCAGCAGGCGCGTAAATTACCCACTCCCGGAACATGGAGGTAGTGACGAAAAATGACGATACGGGAATCATCCCTCGTAATCGGAATGAATACTTTATATCTCTTTATTAGAATAAAGAGATATAAAGATATAAGAGATAAAATCGTGTTAATATATAAATTTTAATAGTAATTAGAATATATATACAAATAATGCAACTTAAGTACGTAAACGTATCATGCACTAGGTATAACCGTATTTTGTGGGCGGGCGGGTCGGACTAACGTTATACCTGAGGTATAAACGGTGGTAGGAATATATAAATATATATACGTAAGGCGCATTAGACGCGGGCGGTATTGGTCAGTCAAAATAAAAATTTGTTTATATATATATAATATTGATGACAAGCACGCGTGTACGGGTACGATAACGAAAAATAAATTTTTATAGGAATAGTGTGCCGTCGTGTGGTGAGCGAGGCGTGGGGAGGGGTGAATGCGTTATGACAGTCTAGTCTAGACGACGGAATATGCGATAACGCGTGGCGTTTGGAGAGTTACATACATACATACATACATACATACATACATACATACATACGTACATACATACATACATACATACAGGTGAAACTAATATAAGCGTGTTAAAAATAAATGTTTATAGGAATAGTGTGCCGTCGTGTGTTGAGCGAGGCGTGAGGAGGGGTGAATGCGTTATGACAGTCTAGTCTAGACGACGGAATATGCGATAACACGTGGCGTTTGGAGAGTTACAAACATACATACATATATACATACAGGTGAAACTAATATAAGCGTGTTAAAAACACATCATAGTAAAACCAATACCTTCTAAGCTTCGCATCGGAGCTAAAAAATGCGTAATGATAAAAATTCTTTAACCAGCCCACAGTGAGATAAAACGCTACTTAGGTGACTAAAAGTACCAGTTTTAAATAGACCCAAAAATTTGATAATGTATAACATTTCAAGTCGCATTAAAAGTTTTTATGAAACTTTTATTAAATGTTTATACAGAGCTATTTGAACATACAACTACTATATAATTTTTGTTTTTTATTTTTTTGAAAGAATTGTCGTAACACAATAAGAGGGAAAGTGTAAATAAAATGTGTACGAAGATGAGGATGTGGTGCCTGCTGTCTAGGTATTCACGTGCGTGTTGTCGTACAGCAGTCACCATGCTCGGCTGACACTTTGGGTTAGCTGTGGGTGTCGAAAGGCTGTTGTTGTAGGAAGAGAATAAGGGTAACACTTAGGTATGAGGTGCAGACGAAGTGCAAGACACGAGTACTCTGAAATGTTGTGGAAGAGAGTAGATAGGTTTAAAAAGGAAAAAAAACAAAGACTTTACTTTAAGCAGTACTTAAAAGCCATTAATCTTTCTAACTTAACTAGTTTAATCCATCACTATAGAGAATAAGTGAGGGCTTAAAGCAGAACCTTGGTGCACTCCTACTCTTACCCGAAAACCTTCTGATATTCCTCCTACGCTTTTTACCCTGGTACAAGTGCCATCATTCATATCTTCTATTATATTAATGTACCTTTTCGGGACTCCTTTTCTCATTAATGCCCACTTTAAAACCTCTCTCGGTACTCTGTCATACGCTTTCTCCAAATCTATAAATACCATACACAGTTTTTTCTTCTTTTCCCTAAACTTTTCTATTAGTTGCCTCACACAAAATACTGGCTCCATTGTTGACTTGCCAAGCATAAATCCAAACTGGTTTTTAGATACCGATGTCTCATTTTTTATTTTATATCTATTACCTTTTCCCAAATTTTCATACTATGACTCATAAGCTTTATGCCTCTATAATTTCCACACTCCTGTATGTTTCCTTTACCTTTAAATATCGGCACCACAATACTATTCCTCCATTCATTTGGTATTTTCCCTTCTAATAAGATTTTATTTAACAGTTATTCTTATCTCCTATCCACAGGGAAATATTGAAAGCTATTAATAAAAACATATAGAGTAATTTATTTTTTCATAACCCACTTAGATACTTGCAGAATAAATATAATTTAAACTTCATTTTTTTTTGTTATGTTTAGTTACACATTACTCATGAATTATTAACTATGTAATATTTTTTAAGTTCATCCCTTATGTCTTGTAAGGGTGTCAACTTTATTTTTTTAAATGGGAACACATATTTTGAATTAAATAGAATGTTTGAGTTTTCAATCTAATAGTAAATGGCATTTGAATTTTTAGTATAACTTTATTTGTTTATTAGATATAAACATTTAAAGTTCAAATTTTTGAGTTAATATACATGTATAATACACAAGGATTACAAATACAGTTTTTTTATGACATCGATATTCGCAGTTATATTGTTATTATCAATGGTAGTAAGATGCATTGTTGTAAGTTTATAAATACACTAACTGACAATACAGAAAGTATATCTATTGATAGTCATAATTGATAATTAGCAAAGTTGACACCCTTACTAGGCATGAGGGATGAACTTAAAAAGTATGACATAGTTAATAAATCATGAATAATACGTAACTAAAAATAACTAAAAAAAAAAAATGTTTAAATTATTATTACTCTATAAGTAATTGAGTGAGTTATGATAAAATAATCACTCGGTATACAAGGGTGAGTCTTTTAACACTAGCCATTCAATTTCTTTTAAAATAATGATTTTTTTAACACGCTTATATTAGTTTCACCTGTATGTATGTTTGTAACTCTCCAAACGCTACGCGTTATCGCATATTCCGTCGTTTAGACTAAACTGTCATAACGCATTCACCCCACCCCACGCCTCGCTCAACCTCACGACGGCACACTATTCCTATAAAAATTTAATTTTAGTTATTGTACTTGTATTTGAGTAGTGGTAATGAAATTTCTTTAGATCAAACGTAGTATCTTTTAGTAATAACGTGGCTTTTCTGTTTTCGAAAAACGAAAAGTGTTTTTTTTTTTCTAAATGTAATCTATAACTTTGTCTACAAAATGTATTTATTTTTTTTAGCATAATATCACGTAAATTTAAGTTAAACTTCTCAGAGTAGTTGGTGTATATATATAAACGTTTATTTTAATAAAAATTATTTAAAATAAAAAAAAATAAATATTATATGAATGTTTATTTATTTATAGGTTGCTTTAATAGCTTACTTAAGCCATATTGGTAGTTATGTATCAGCTGAAATGGTTACAATTAGTGTATTGGATCACATCTTTACAAGAATTCAATCAAATGAATCAATTAGTACATTAATGTCAGCTTTTATGATTGATCTTAAACAAGTAATGAATGATAATATATCAATTTATTTTATACTTCTTTATTTGTAAAAAATATTATTTATATAGATGTCAGTAGCATTAAATGAATCAACTTGTAAGTCTTTGGTTGTACTTGATGAATTTGGCAAAGGTACATCTGACACAAATGGACTTTCAATACTATTAGCTTGTGTTGTTTATTTTGTTAAAAAACCATTATGTCTATTGCCTCATATTATTATTTCTACTCATTTCTACATGTTGCCAATAATGTTGCCTCAATTAATACAAGAAGCTGAAATTCTGAACAAGATAAAAGTATACTTTATTTCTATAGTATTTTAGTTATAATTGAGAAGTTCTCATTAAAAATTACAATAGTTTTTTTCATTAAGAATATAATTTTTGATATGACCAAAAGAATAGTGAAAAAATCAAGTCCCTATTACAATATATTAAACTAGGCTCCGCCCCAGACCCGGAGTCCTTTGAGCCTTACGCGACTTCGGCGCGTAAGCCTCTTCGGGCTGTTATCATAAGTAGGCCACTGATTACGGTAGGGGTACCCAACTACGCCGGGCACGATAAGTGTTTTTCAGAAAAAATATTACATCAGAATCAGTGTAACAAAACTATATATAAAAATGTTATTATTAAAATCGGGAATATTCAAAAAGAGAATTTAGTAAAATGTATTGGGTATAAGGTTGACGTGAGGTATTCCTTTTAGGCCTATTAAAAAATTATTTTAGGAGGGTATGTAATATTTTTTAATTTGTTAAACATGTTATAGACATTTTTTTGCTAAAAATTGAAGTAATGATGAAAAAAAGGACATTAGGTCCTTATTTATTAGAAGTTGCTTAAAAAAAAATTTATAGCGCTGGTTCAAGGGGGCCCATATCTCCAAATACACAAAAATTATTAATAATCAAATTATAATAATTGTGTCTATATTATAGAATAATTTAAAAAAAATTCAACAGGTTATTATACGTGGCACATTGTAAAAAATTTAATTTTGATAAAAATATTGGTAACTGCGATTTAACGTTGGACAGCATAGTTATCATAGATTCAAACGATAAACTCATAGACTCATACATCATAGATGAAAAAAAAAAGATTATTAATAATGTACTGTTCTGAAAATGAAAGTACAAACTTATATAATTATAACGTCTTGAAATTTACATATAACATATAATATTCTTTGATGAAATATAGTGCAAATGCAAAATAGTGTCCTAATAATAATACATATTACACCATATAATTAAGGTTCATAATAAACGTATGAGCAGAAATGAAATGCTGCGCGTATTAAAACAATGCGCGCGCGTTACCTTAAAAAAAAAAAAAAATGATTTTTTTTATCATATCTCAGGAATGTCATTGGGCGGGTCTGATGAAAATTTCAAACCTTAAGTCGTAAAACACTGGCGTTAGCGAGCGTTTTTCTCGAAAACGATCGAAATTTTAAAACGCTCGCAGGCGAGCGGCAAACATTTTCCGACCTTAGCCAATAATTTTCCCGGAGTCTGGTGACCAAGTACTTTCGTTGAAAAAAAAATTTTGAAAATCCGAGCACGCTAAGTAATTTTTCCAGAAAAGCGTTTTTTTCCTTGTTCTATTATATAATAAGATGTTATTTAAATGAAAAAGTTGTACCGAGAATAAATTCTTAAATCGCCATCTCCAACATTGATGTAACAAAAAATAATGTAATTGTTCAGGAGAACCATTTATAATTTTAATGATATAGCTTTTCTTTATTACTTTTAGTTTTATTTTATGTTTTCTGATTCAATATAAAAAACATACATATTAATGTATTGTAGGACTATAGAAAAAAAATGTGTAGTTATAATCCTTTTCATTGGCAGTAGTAATTCATGTATATTATCTTATTGTATCCTTTAAAAAATATATATTTATATTTATGCTACTAACATGTAGACACAATCTGGAAGGACTCAAAGACGGTAACTTCCAAATTTTATCACAGCCTCTTCTGCTAAAAAAAATTAAATGTATTATTTATAGAAATATTTTGAAGAGGAGTGATTAAGTTAGACCTCGTAATTATTTTTTTTTTAATTTGGTTTAAGCAAATTTTGTTTTTATAAAGTAAAAAAATTTTAAAAATAAATGTTTATAGCATAATTAAATTTATATTTCATAGTATTTTACAATGAATAGTACCATAGTAAATGATAAAATTGAGTACTCGTATAAGATAGAGGAAAACTTAGTCAACGAATATCATACAACTAGTATGGCGCATAAAGTAGCTGTTTTCAATGGGTTACCCAATGGCATAATTAACCGGGCTTCTCGAGTATGTGTAATATTTAATCAATAAACTTATTGTACATACCAAAAATTTTATAACAAAAGCATTCTAAAATATTTTCAGATACTTCAGAATAATGGAAGTAATAATATTATTCCACCTATGAGTGAAAACTCTAGATATCAATTAATATTAAAGTAACTATTAAAATTTTCAAATTTATAAAAATAACCTTTATATACATATTTTTCTAAATATATATTTTAGAAGGAAAAAATTTATTCAGGATTTACTAACAACAAATGAGAGTATTCCTGATATTTTTAACAGTATATTAGACAGTTTAGAAGATATAAGATACCCATGATAAATAAAAATTGACGTATATACTATATTATGTTGAATTTAATTTTTACTAAATTAATGAAATTTTAACATTTTTATCTTATTAAAGCTTATAATGAACTTTTGTTTCTAGAATTGTTAATTGTATAAAATGTTTACAGTAGATAAATAACGATCTAAGATAAATAATTTTATTTTTTCACTAATACATTAAAAAATGTATAGATTATTTCTATATACATATTATAATATATATATACTTAATAATAAAATTAATTTTGTCACTTAAAAATAAAATCTATTAAACAATAGTAATATTAATTAAAATTTGGAATGTATTTAAACTACAGTTCATTTTTAATAAATTTCCTAAAAAAATTAAGGTATTACTCTATTATAATTAATGTTATATGTACATAGGAGGTATCCAGTAAAGAAATGGATTTCTATTATTTTCATTTATTATAACAATTTACCTGTTTCCTTACTGAATACTCTGTATAAATTAAATTTTTTTAAATTTGAATGTAATGTAAGTTACAATAATTACAAATTTAACAATAATAATAAATATAGAAATCAATAAAACATTTAATTGTAAAATATCTATTCTTTAAAAATATATAAATAAAATGTATGTTATGCTAAAAATAAAAGTAATATAGGATATATAACAAAATTAAGCGTAAACCTTTGGTTTTGTGTAAAAATGTAAAAAAACAATGGAGCAACCTAAACTATTACGTAGATGTGACGCCTCTTCTAGCAATTAATAAATTTAAAATTTTATGTTTTTTTATGTAATCTACAGCTTTTTTGTGAGTAACCATAGTAAAATCATAACCATTACACTAAAAAAATATATTTCACAATTAAGATTCTTACTAATATTTTAATTAAAAATATCTACCTGCAATATTTTGTCATGTATTCTTAAACCAGATTTAGAAGCTGGACTACCATCATGAACTTCAGTCACATATATACCCTAAAAATAAATATATTTGTTTTTAAAATCTTATGTTTATACTTAGTCTTTTACTTACATTATCTGTATATCCTTGTGGGCTTTTCCTAAAATCTTGATCAATTCCTCCACCAATTTTAAAACCACATTTTAATAATTCGCGACCATCATCATCTATTGATGATTCTTTAGTTAATGTAATAGGTATCTAAGTATCGATATTTATTATTATTACTTGTTTATAAAAAAATTAAATAATAAATCAAAAAATACATACACTTAGGCACTCCATGGCAGTGCCTGGTTGATGAGTGAATGCCATTTTAGCGCACATCGTAATTAGTATTTTTTTCTTGTTAATAAATAAAAAAAATTGGTTTACTGTCTAAATTTTAAACAAGTATTAGTACATTTCCAAAAGTTTTTACGGGAGCGGTCGAATACAGGTCAATTAACTCATGTTGAAAATGATAAATATTATCAGTGACGTCATTAACATTATTTATCAACATTATTATGTCGGAGATACTGTCATTGCTAAAATAAACCAATACGACACATATACAAAATGTCTCCAATTTATTTATACGAATTACCTGGAATTTTTTACGTCTGGAAGTTAGCTCTCGAGACTCAACGTCTAACCATAAACTGATAAGAGAGTAACCATAACAGTGTTCATTGAGTTGCCTGTTTGTAAGAATTCAAGGGATTGAAGTATCAATAATTTTAATTTCATAATTATTATTATAATTACGATATTAGCAGGTGCACAGCATTGTTATTATCAATTGTAGTAAGACACACTGTTGTGAGTTTATAAATACACTAACTGACAATACAGAGAGTATATCTATTGATAATCATAATTGATGATAAACAATCCGTTACTGTGATAGCAATGTCATAAAAATCCAATTAGCTACCTGTATTTATAATCCCTTGTGTATTATACATGTATATTAACTCAGAAATTTGAAACTTTAAATGTTTACATCTAATAAACTAATAAAGTTATACTAAAAAATCCAAATGCCATTTGCTATTGAATTAAAAATCCAAACATTTTATTAAATTCAAAATATGTGTTACCATTTAAAAAAACAAAGTTGACACCCTTACCAGGCATAAGGGATGATCTTAAAAAGTATTACATAGTTAATAAATCAAGAATAATGTGTAACTAAAGATAGTAATAAAAAAAATTTTTTAAATTATTATTATTNTTGAAACTTTAAATGTTTATATCTAATAAACGAATAAAGTTATATTAAAAATTCAAATGACATTTGTTATTGAATTGAAAACTCAAACATTTTATTAAATTCAAAATATGTGTTACCATTTAAAAAAACAAAGTTGACACCCTTACCAGGCATAAGGGATGATCTTAAAAAGTATTACATAGTTAATAAATCAAGAATAATGTGTAACTAAAGATAGTAATAAAAAAAATTTTTTAAATTATTATTATTCTGTAAGTAATTGAGTGGGTTATGATAAAAAAATCACCCTGTATATATAAGTTCATAGATCATTATTAGAGCTCAAATTTCAATTTTTGCATTTTTTTAGGAATTATTTAGGTATGCTCTCCAAGCATAAAATTCGATTTATGTAATGAAAATTCAAAATTGAAAGTTTTATTTTGCATTTTTAATTTATAAGGGATTTTTGTTTTTTTTTTTAAACGTATCATGCATTAGGTACAGTCGTGTTTTGTGGGCGGGCGGGTCGGACTAACGTTATACCTGCGGTATAAACGGCGGTAGGAATATATAAGTAAGCCGTATGCACTCGGATGATAATGGTCAGTCAAAATAAAAATTTGTTTATATATATATAATATTGATGACACGCACGTGTGTACGGGTACGATAACCAATAATAAATTTATACAGGAATAGTATTGCCGGCGTGTGATGAGCGAGGCGTGGGATGGGGTGAATGCGTTATGACAGTCTAGTCTAGACGACGGAATATGCGATAACGCGTGGCGTTTGGAGAGTTACAAACATACATACATACATACAGGTGAAACTAATATAAGCGTGTTAAAAATGCGCTATCTAGTAAAAAATAATAATAAAAAAAAAAATTTTATTTTTGTTATCAATGACCTTTAAGAAGTCTATGATATAAATTTCATAAATTTCTGAACTATACCAGCACACACGTTAGGTGATTTCACATGGAATGACCCGATAGTACATAGTATACACTATTCCAAGACTAGTGTTAGAAATATTTGTGTTGTGCAATTTAATGAATTTCAATACATTTCTATTTTTTTTTTTTGAAGTTTTGACAACTAATTAAAATTTGGCTTAAAAAAAAAGCAATTTAAAATGCTCACTTGTCAAATTTTATGAATTACACTCCCTCTCCTTATAATAATTAGTAGGACTATCACTAGGAATTTGTTAATAATGAACATGATGTAGACTGGTTGCTGCGGAGTGTACCATATATAGTAAAGTTTACGATCAGAAAGGAAATCCATGTTAAAGCTTTTAGGGAAAGGCGTTCTTATTAGATACTCGTTATCTGATACCCCATCAGATATATTTTCATAATTTGTTTAAGTAAATAGTTTTTTATTTTTGAGTGTAATATCTTAAACTAGATACGAATTGTAGTCATTTGACGTATCGTTGAAAAAAGTAGGTCAAGTTAGGACAAAATATTCTTAGAAAAAAATAGAACAAGGCACTGGAGTCGACTGATCAAGATGGCCAGGACATTTGAGTTTAAATAGTAATTTGGGCGACTGCCAATTTTGCAATAAATATTAATCATTAATTCATCAATCTCTAGAAGAGGATACGATATCTGCATTTCACTAAAATAATATTTTACAATAATAGTAACGTGACACCAACACATATTTGTAGCGAGGTGTAATATATATAGAAGTAATAAACACTTTTACGATTTAATAACAACTATACTATATTACAACGAACTAACAAATAACAGCGAGAGACGAAGCGCGTTTAAGACAGAGTGCGTAAGTGATTGACTGGAGCGACGATCTTGCCCTTAAATAGTCAGAGGAATCTTCTAGAGGCGGCGGCGGAACTCTCTAGAACATTCGACCGCCACATATTCATTATACAATGTTTTCCTTTTTTGACTGATAAAAAGGAATTATATAAAAATATTAATCTCCAGGGTCAAAAAATAAAAATTACATATTCAATGCAAATATTTTTTATAGTGTGTTTGACAAAAGATTGTGTGACATTTTTAAAATACCAATAATAATAATAATAATAATAAAATTAAATTTTAAATAAAAGGGCATAAAAACAGTCAACTCGACCTATTGCTCCTTCACTTTATAAATTTTCAACAAGTGCAAAAAGTGGTTCGACAAATTTACGATTACACGAAGAAAATTTAAGTATATTTTTCAACCTTACTTCTAACATAATTAAGGTAAATTCATATTTCACAGAAGATTAATAAGCTTTAATTTAATTAATAAGCTGTGGTTCCTATACTACTCGAGGTATTTTTTGACATGACTCAGGGTTAGCACAAGCTTAGATAACTACTGGTACGAGTGTCGTTGTTAATAATTTATATGTGATAATTAATCACAATAATTTCTATTTCAAATTATTATTATATTAATAAATCTATAAACATCACTTTGTTTTTCTATATTTTAAATCTTCTCATAAACCCACGTACTCATATCCCGAGAAAAAATTATATTATTCAATTATTTTATAGTAACTCGATTATTCTCATGCTCATACAAGACCAACAAATAACTAATTTTATACATCATTTTAATCATGGAAACCTACCATTTACATGATATTTTTTTTTTGAGTTACAATATTATATCATTAAAAGCCCACAACATTTATATTTACAAAGATACATTATGTTTATAAACGTTGAGTTCTAACAAAACACAAAAAAAAGCATAGAGTAATATTGCTCTACGCAATAAAGTGATTTCTATCAATTACATTACATTAAAAACAGGGATTCGGAACGGAGCAAATTTTGTTCCGTCACAATATTTGTTCCGGAACGGAACTTTTCCTAAAAATCGTTCCGACTATTTGCTCCGGAACGGAACTATTAGTAAAAATCGTTCCGACCATTTGCTCCGGATCAGAATGCTAGCTACAAATTGTTTCGCAAAAATGCTTTGAAACGTTCCTATTTATTTTCACCCCTCTGATATTTATTAATCACATTTAAATTATTGTTATATTTTTTTATATTAATCTAGTATTAAATTTTTATCTTTTATATAGAGATGAGCCTCTTACGGATTCAGATCTTTGTACTTAAGAGACTTAACTGGAGAGCGTTATATTCAGCCTATTCAATTATTTTAACGTATTGCATTGCTATAACAAGATTTATTTTAGCAGTCGCTTTTCTGAATTTATAAAAACAATATTATTATTGACGAGTGATGGAACTTAAATTTTAATTTTACCGTGTCATTTTTACCATAGAGTTACTCTATAATTTTTACACGTAAATAACAATGCAAATACAATAAAAATATCTATTGATCAGAAATTTGCAGGAAGTTGTTTTTTTTGTAACATTAGAAAGTAAACTTGTCACGAATAAGAGTTGACAGCATACATTCTATTCGAGGGCATCTAGACGGATTAACCGTCCTTTTAGTAGCTGATTTTGTTAATAGACAATAAAAATAATTTAAATTTAAATAATTAATTCCCCAACAATTTCAATTATATCCAATGTTTCAACTGACCAGAACAAATTTTACTAATAGTTCCGTTCCAGAGCAAATGGCCGGAACGATTTTTAGGAAGAGTTCCGTTCCGGAGCAAACTCGGAACGGAACGAAATTTCACGTTCCGGAACAATATTTTTGTTCCGTTCCGAATCCCTGATTAAAAATTATTAATAAGAAAACCCCTAGGTAAAACTGATGCTGCAACCTACTGTACATGATAAACCCATTTGGTTACTAAAATATTATCAATGGTTACATTTCAGTTAATTTTGGGAGCCAACTTCAGGATGTGAATTTTTTTTAATAATAATTTTTTTTCCAAATATTTGTTATTTTCTGATACAAATTTTAGGATTGTGCTTTTTCATTATTTCATTATTAGATTATAAGTTACATGAGTTATCAGTTAGATCTGTTCCACTCTGTATATATTTAGTTATTGGGTAATATCAGACAATATAAAAGCTGTATGATAGTGATGATTCCATTTCAAAATCTTATTCATTTATAGTTTTAAAGTAATGACTAATAGTTTGTTATTTATCATTGTTGTGCCAAACAGGCGAAGTTGAATTTGTATTTATTATTTTTAAAAGAGCTTCATTATTGTAGATTTTTATGTATTTATTAGTAACTTAATAATTGATAGAGTTTATTTTTTATTATTATTGTTTCTTGAGTCAAAGAGGCTATTGCTGATAATTATTACAATGTTTATTTATTGAAGTTTATTTTCTTTATTTTATGTTTTAATAAAAATTGTTATAACTACATTTGAGTCATTTGATTATCATTCTTAGTAACTAAGTTTATCACTGTTACCTGCTTACTCACATACTCCAATTTTGTGTAAACGCTTCTCCCCCCTTTGGTGTGAAGTGTATGTAACCAGAAGTTTCTTAATATACAGTCTATTCCATCACCCGAGATTATAGGTACCGGGATAAGTAGCATACCATTTGTCACCCTTACCCATTCACCTAATTATGCTATAAAATGGTTTAAAAAAAAAACAAAAATCCCTTATAAATTAAAAATGCAAAATAAAACTTTCAATTTTGAATTTTCATTACATAAATCGAAATTTATGCTTGGTGAGCATACCTAAATAATTCCTAAAAAAATGCAAAAATTGAAATTTGAGCTCTAATAATGATCTATGAACTTATATATACAGGGTGATTTTTTTATCATAACCCACTCAATTACTTACAGAATAATAATAATTTAAAAAATTTTTTTTATTACTATCTTTAGTTACACATTATTCTTGAATTATTAACTATGTAATACTTTTTAAGATCATCCCTTATGCCTGGTAAGGGTGTCAACTTTGTTTTTTTAAATGGTAACACATATTTTGAATTTAATAAAATGTTTGAGTTTTCAATTCAATAACAAATGTCATTTGAATTTTTAATATAACTTTATTTGTTTATTAAATATAAACATTTAAAGTTTCAATTTTTTGAGTTAATATATTGGTATAATACACAAGGGATTACAAATACAGGTAGCTAATTGATTTTTTATGATATTGCTATCACAGTTACGGATTGTTTATTATCAATTATGACTATCAATAGATATACATTCTGTATTGTCAGTTAGTGTATTTATACAGGGTGTTCAGGAAGTCAGGAAACAGGTTTCTATTGTTCTCATTGTTACAAACAACGAGAACAATAGAAACCCGTTTCCTGACTTACTGAACACTCTGTNATACCTGTATATTAACTCAAAAAATTGAAACTTTAAATGTTTATATCTAATAAACGAATAAAGTTATATTAAAAATTCAAATGACATTTGTTATTGAATTGAAAACTCAAACATTTTATTAAATTCAAAATATGTGTTACCATTTAAAAAAACAAAGTTGACACCCTTACCAGGCATAAGGGATGATCTTAAAAAGTATTACATAGTTAATAAATCAAGAATAATGTGTAACTAAAGATAGTAATAAAAAAATTTTTTTAAATTATTATTATTCTGTACGTAATTGAGTGGGTTATGATAAAAAAATCACCCTGTATATAATATAACTTAATAAATGAATATGTATTTATATTTTTATTTAATATATATTAAGTGAAAATTCTAATTTTATTAATTATCTCTGTTTTCTTTTTAAATAAAAAAATTTCACAAAATTTTTAAATTTATATTTAATTTAAAAACAGATATTTTTTTAAAAAATTGTGCCTTTTTATAATTTGGGAGAAATTAAATATTAGAGTTCAATTTCTTATAATATGGACTATAAGAATACTTATACTCAATGTGTATAACCAGGCATTATATAAAAGGAGGCAGAATGAGCAATGGATCTCAAGCCTCGAGTATCATGAAATTCTTATTATAACAAACTAACAAAAAAAAAATTATGTAATAAGTATTAACGTAATTCTAATTAAAAGTAAAATTGTATTTTATTGTAAATAAATTACCGAAAATTGGCTAGGATTCAAACCAATAAAAGTATTAAAAAACGCATAATTTGTTCTTCAAATTAAAATTACAAACTTTTTAAAAATTACAGACAAGTGAAAAAATTAATTTTTTTTAATATATTTTTCAGTAATAATTATAACATCATATAGCAAAAGTTATTTTTTGAACAAGGATAAGGAATGTTGTGATAAACAATATAAAATGATACTTATAGTATAAAGAGTTCTTTTGTTAACCATATCAGAAAGTATCACTTGTATTATCAAAATCTATATTACTAGTGTTTAATCTTGAGCCTCGGATAGGGAGAACCCATCAGCTACATCAGTTATATCATTCTCTTCATCACGAATATATTCGAACACTCCTATATCTTCTGTTCTCTCTAATCTATCACCAATATATCTATATGAACTACCTAAAATAAATTAAAATCATAAAATTTTAAAATTATAAATTGTAAAGTATATATAATTAGTCTTCAAGTATATATGAAAAACTTAAACATCCGCTCTATACATATTATTATATATTTACAAAATATATGTTTATTTATAATTTGAATAGTAAAATGGGGTTAATGTGGCAATGTAGCAAGTGAATATTAACAGCTTAATGTACAGTGTGATATAATAAAAATATTAGCCCCATTTTTAAGAAATGACTAAAACAACTATTTATTTTTCTACTCTTATACTTTTGTCTATTAACTTTTCCTAAATCTTCATATTGGCTCATAAGCTTTATATCTTTATAATTTCCACACTCCTGTATATCTCCCTTGCCTTTAAATATCGTCACCACAATACTATTCCTTGATTCTTTTGGCATTTTCCCTTCTAATAGGATATTATTTTAAAAAAATATTCAACTACTTAATGCCAATACCACCTAATATTATGCATACTTAAACTGGCACTTCATCGAATCCTACTGCTTTATTCTATTAATTGATGCCATAGTCTCTCATACATTTTTCATACTAATTAAATACACCATTCTCTTATTCTACGAGATATTAACTAATGTTTCTCTTGGATACTTCTCATTCAATCATTTTTCAAAATACTCTTTCCACCTTTTTTTTACGTCATCATCGGTCGTTAGCATCTTCTTATTATCACGTTTTATTTTCCTTATATTACGGTGATCTTTATACTGTTTTTCTCTTACTTTTAAAAGTCTATAGTTCTTTTTTACATTCTTTTGTTCCTAGCTCACATACAACTTACCATACGTTTTAAACTTCATCTTACTAACTGCACACTTGTGGCTTCTTCACAAAAGCTCTTCTAACATAATATTAACGGCTTTTTCAGATTCTGATATTTTGAACGTCCTCATCTGACTATCCGATTTCCTTGTTTCCTGGTATTCTATTTCAACTTTCACCAACAATCTACTTTGCAATATTCTTTACACAACTAGCAAATCTATTCTATATATCATATATGTCTATCTCGACATTCCACACCGTCTTAAAAAACTCTTTTTCTTATTTACCTTTCAATTATCATTACCGGATTCTCGATTTTCTTCCTATGTTCTTTCTATTTTTATATACTCACTTCCCACTACACCACAACTCCATTACTATCAGTCTATGTTGTTTAGTTACACTCTCAACTTTACAACTTTACAATCTTGTACTCGCTTTACACTCTCTCTCCTCCACATAAAATAATTAATCTTTGGTCTATTACTCCCACTCTTATAAGTGATATAATGTTCTTCCCTCTTTCAAAAACCACAGCAAGATCATACGATACTGCGAAATTCAATATGCTTTCTCCAGCCTCATTCTTCCGATTAAACTATACCCTTCATATATTTTCTTCTCATTATCGACATGTCCAATAATATATTCACTAACCATTGTATCTTCATTACAAGATATTCCTTGCATCACCTTATCCATCTCTCTACAAAACTCTTCCTTGTCTATTTCATCATATTCTACTTGTGGTACATAGGTACATTCAATACTATTTCCTCAAAAATTTATTTTACGATTTCTTATTATTTCTTCCTGTATCTTTACAGGATTTATTTTAAAAATAAATAAATAGATTTTCACACTAGACCCTTCAATTACCTTGACAAAATTATTTTCCCCAATTATTGTCATTTTGAGATAAATTTATCATCAGACTTTTTATAAACATAGTACATATGTGCGGACATTTCCATAGTGAGGAAATATTTTTAGTTAAAATTATACTTTATTTACCTGGTGAATCTGTAGAAAACTCACGAGCAAACGGAGTTTGATAATGTGATAGTATAATTGGTGAATTAATTTCGGAATTTAACGCCATTCCTATAAAATGGTAAATTATTTTTAATAATTAAACTGTTTACATTTGTCGTAACACAGGAAAGAGTAAATGATATCAGGTAAATGTGTAACTGTGTGTACGAAGATGAATATGAGGAGGTGGTGCCTGCTGTCTAGGTATTCACGTGCGTGTTGTCGTACAGCAGTCACCGTGCTCGGCTGACACTCCGGGTTAGCTGTGGGTGTCGAAAGGCTGTTGTTATAGGAAGGGAGAATAAGAGTAACATCTAGGTATGAGGTGCAGACGAAGTGCAAGACACAAATACCAGGTGTACGCAAAAGGAGCCCAAAGTATGAGGTGCAGACGAAGTGCAAGACACAAATACTTGGGGTATAGGAGAGGACAATGAAGTACGAGGTGCAGACGAAGTGCAAGACACAAGTACTCCAAAGAGAGAACGGGGTAGCCGAGTATAAGGTGCAGACGAAGTGCAAGACACAAATACTGGGCGTACCAGATAAGGAGTATAACAAAGTACGAGGTGCAGACGAAGTGCAAGACACAAGTACTTTAGTTATTAGGAGAGGATAATGAAGTACGAGGTGCAGACGAAGTGCAAGACACAAGTACTTCAGAGAGAGAACGGGGTAGCCGAGTATAAGGTGCAGACGAAGTGCAAGACACAAATACTAGGCGTACCAGGTGAGGAAAGATAACAGAGTACGAGGTGCAGACGAAGTGCAAGACACAAGTACTCTGAAATGTCGAGGAAAAGAGTATATAGGTTAGAAAAGGAATAAACAAAGACTTTACTTTAAACAGTAAGCCGGACAGCGACAACCGAGTACTGAGACTGATGAATGACACAAGGCACTGGAGTCGACTGACCACGATGGTCAGGTCTATTGGGTTTTTATAATAATTAGAACTATTGCCGATTTGGCAATAAATATTATTTGTTAATTCACCAGTCTCAGGCAGCGGATGTGCTGTCTGTATTTTATTAAAATAATTCTCACGATTATGAAAACGTGACACCATCACACATTGTTAATATATGTTTAATAGTGATGAATTAAATTCAATTTTAACTTAAACTTTTGTTCATTTGACGACTCTGTAACAAATTTTTGTTACATAAATGTACGAAAAAAAATCTTCTTTAGATGTAAGAATCTAAAGGCATATGTTTGTAAATTGTAACGTCACAAATTCGAAGGTGGACCGTTTATGATTATTTGTTATGTCTTATTTATTTTATAGCGCGAAAGAACCTTTTCTTGACACGGCGGTGTCAACCACTCATTATTTTGCCGCTGATCACTAGATAAGGCGATAAAAGAGAAATATAATTAAAATCGAATTGTTTATCAGTATTGATCCCTTCCAAAAAGACTGGCCGTTATCGATTTGAAATTGCCGTTAGATCGGTCTTGGCTCTTCTCCATTCTTTCTTCTGTCATTGACCGTGCTAGAGTGTACACGTTTATTGTTTTTTGGTTATTTTTTTTCAATATGAAGTAGAGCCGCTAACGGCGAACGACCAGGTCTTTTCGGCGAAGCATCCAGACCATCGGATGGATCTCTTCGGAGACCGGGTATCGTTTTCTTTTATATATTATATTTATATAATGAGCTATATTTCATCAATTATCGTAAATTAACTTAATTTTGTTTATGTGTGGAGAGCACGCGTTTCCCTTTTCTTCTAGCTAACGCTAAGGAGCGAGTGTCCAGACCACTCCTGGTGTTCTTCATTAATTTCCGATTAACATTAACGAATGTGTTTCAATACCGTCCGTGATGTTTGTAATATTATTTGTTTTTTTAAATATTTTATTTTATTTTTGTTGCTTTTATTTGTAGACATGGTTTTTGATGCATTCGCATTATTGTCCATGTTTAACTTAAATTTTTTTTTTTTAATAATTTAATTAAATATCCTTATTAATTTCAACAGTAATTGTTGCGTACACAGTCATATGGTGTCTTTGTTGTGACCGCCCCATCAATATGTGATTGACCGCTGGTAAAAATAATTGAACGAGTTCCACGCGACTCGTTAAAACGAGTCATTTTTACTCATTCGCAATTAAACGCTCGCTCGAGTATCGTTGATACCAAACTGAACGGTATATTATCGTTTCGTTTTTTTTTATTTTGTGTTCTTTTGAACTACGGCAAAAGGGTGTATACACTCATAATTTTGCAAACCAGTTCTTTACATATAAAGTGATACTCAAAACACACTAACTTTTGGTTAAGATTAATCGTTGTTTTCCTGTCATTCTGTTCCTGTTATTAGCAAGACATACAATTTTGCCGCAAACCAGGTCACAGCCATCTGTGGATGTACAGGTCGCTTTTATTGTATTATTTTACATTACTATTAAATGATCTATTAATGTATAGGTATATATTTCTAGCATAGTTAAGTTTTACGAACATTAATTTTAGTGATATGTTATGTTTGTATAATATTCTTATATAGAAATATCAATATATGAATACTCTCAAAATCTTTTAATAATCTTCCATATTCTGTTGTCTACTTCTGACACTTGTAGTGTTATTCTTTAAAATTTTAGTTAAAGGAAAACTCAAACAGTAATATTTATTTTATTGCGCCAGTAACTTAATTACTCGTGTGTATTTTTATCCCTGTTCCTTAATCTAGACACGGGCTACGGTATATTTTACATATCAACCACATACAACTTTGATTGCCTTAATTGTGTTTAATAAACAACGAGGTATTATACTAATTTATACATATAACGACAGACTAACTTAGATTATACTTTTAATTAACTTAAAATTAAATTTCACCTATGGTCCGGTAATCTTATCTGATAAGTGTGACACTTCGCCTAGGTGGTGGCGACCCTTGCAACTATAGCTAGTCGTTATGCAAGTGGCAAACCATGTTGTTGTTACAGGCCGAATTAATAAAGCCCCCTTGCAAGATTTACCATAAAAATTCTCAATAAATTACCTACATCCGAGTTTAAATTTATTTATGTCTTTCAAAGAGATCTGTTAGATATACCTTATGTGATTCAATTACACGTATATAAATACGTAATAAATACATTACACATTTTTCTGCGTATTCATGTACTTTTTATAATGTTCGTGATGTCTGCATATTTTTTTATTTAATCTAATCATATTACGGCGTAAAATTTGTTTTTTGCATGAGTATAATATTTTTACAATTTAGAAAGTGTATCTAGTTAAAAACATTACCCTCAAAAATTAAAACACTTTTTTAATGATCTTTAGTTAAAATGATAATTATGTATTAAGTATAATCTACCTCCTCTACTAAATCTTTGTAATCTAACTAGATAACTTTAATATTAACCATTTCAAAAATATATATCAATGGATATTCTCATACTTACTGTACATCCGAGTATCTATAAAATATACAAAATAGTTTTTTTTACTAAAAATTAAAAAAAAAAATGATTTCAGCGTATCTATGAGCTAGACACGTTATAAATAGATAATCATGTGAAATAGTAGTAATTTATCATAAGAATTTCTGAATAAAACTTGCATTGCAAGCATTATTTTGGATTTCCTTGAAAATGTATACATAACATTTTTTCTAAACGAAAAAATATCTTCTTTAGAAGTAAGAATTTAAAGGCATTTGTTTATAGATTTATTACAAAAATTCTCAATAAATTACCTACATCCGAGTTTAAATTTATTTATGTCTTTCAAAGAGATCTGTTAGATATACCTTATGTGATTCAGATACACACATATATATATAAATACATTACACATTTTTCTGCGTATTCATGTACTCTTTATAATGTTCGTGATGTCTGCATATTTTTTTATTTAATCTAATCATATTACGGCGTAAAATTTGTGTTTTGCATGAGCGTAATATTTTTACAATTTAAAAAGCGTATCTAGTTAAAGACATTACTCTCAAAAATTAAAACACTTTTTTAATGATCTTTAGTTAAAATGATAATTATATATTAAGTATAATCTACATCCTCTACTAAATCTTTGTAATCTAACTAGATAACTTTAATATTATCCATTGCAAAAAAAACATATTGATGGATATTCTTATACTTACTGATCTCTGGAGAATCTATAAAATATACAAAATAGTATTTTTTACTAAAAATTAAAAAAAAAAAATGATTTCAGCGTATCTATGAGCTAGACACGTTATAAATAGATAATAGAGAAATAGTAGTAATTTAGCATAAGAATTTCTAAATAAAATTTGAATTGCAAGCATTATTTTGGATTTCCTTGAAAATGTATACATAACATTTTTACTAAACGAAAAAAAATGGATAATATTACAGTTTAATTTTTGTTATTTATTTTTAAGAATAAATCAATGACTTAATAAATAATTTCAGTTGGTTCTTGTATTATAAAATCCTAATCTTAAAAGGGCCTTAAATAAATAACTTTGATTAACAGAATTAAAGTTGTTTGTATGGAAGTTGTAGTATATTAGTCCTTATTAATAGATTCTTGTTTTCTACAAAATGTGAGGGAGAAAACAAAGGAATGTGAATGAAAACTTTAAACCAGGTCTACTATCTAAATTTATGAAATAAAATATGGGACTTTACCTCTTGCATATAAATTTATGAAGTTACGCAAATTAAAATCAAAATGGAAAAGTAGTAAAATAAAAAAAAATAATATATTAATAATCCTAAAATAATATTATATTATTAATTTAAAATAAAAGTCTATTACATATATCTCTGGTGGAACTTATTAAACCATAATTTTCATCATCATGGCCAAAACTATCATCATTATCTGTACGATTTCTGCGCAAGTCTGCAGGATAAGGAGTAGGATATTCTGGTAAAAAAAATAATTGTAAAAATATTTTACTATTAAAAATTAAACATTAATAATTAAATATTTTAAAAATATTAAAATATATAAAAATTTTAAAATCAAATAAAAAGATTTGTGACGGATAAATAATCGGAATAGAATATTCTAGTTTTAAGATACTACATTGCGTTTAGAAGATTCTAGAAGAAGTGTTATTTACTTAACGTATCCGAATCTTCTTGAAACTCTTAAACCTTCTAGACATAACGCGCTCTATATGCATAGGTATATATCCCCTGCCTCAAAGTAATATTCCCTTACAGAATATGTATAAATTGAATGTGTACGCTGTATAACTGTATAAGTTTAAAAGATAGTTCTAGAGGTACATTATTGGTCAATAGTTCTTCATTTCGCATCAATTGGTAGCACTGCTGTAATAACTATTATGATAAAGATAAGAAAAAAAAATTATAGGCTTAATCTATGCCTTGAAAACCCATCACCTCAATGCTACATGTGATATACAATGCCTCTTCTCGCTTTTATGTCCATTGTTTATAATTCTTCACTACAGATGTCTAACATCTTAAGATTCTCTAACTCTATCTTACATTGTCTTGGGCGGCCTCGTGATCATGTCTCATGAGAATACCACACTGATACTTTACAAATAAGCCTGTTTTTTGTTTTCCATACGTACCCAACTAATTCTGCGGTATTTTAGATAATAAATGTTTCAAATTTAAATTGATTAAATGGACCTGGTAATGAACCTACGGGCCTGAATGTACAATCAGTTATTTTCCAACACTAACATTTTTTAATTCACCACTAATATATAACACGTAAAGGGGAACATAACATACTCGTTGATATTATATCATGAATAGAGACCATATCTTTTTCGCTAGATTATTAAGCCTTTGTTAACTCTCAGGATATAGATGACTAACTCAAAAGCATTCTCGAATTGACTAATCATTACACTTAGAAACACTGCCAGTTCCAGGATCATCAATTTCAATTTACTGTATCATGACAACTGGACCCCTACGACTCACCTTACTGCTAAAATTTCGACGTCGCATAAAATGTAAAAATGCCTGCCTGCATTTTAAACAATCGAAAGTATCCTCACTTTGGACAACTGCTGTTTTACTAGTCCTTTAGATACTGTTTGACGGCAATCGACCGTTTTACGGGATGGTCAAAGTTGTACCCACTCAAACACATTACGGAAGACAACGTGACTAAGGAATACCTCATTTGCTGGATTTCTCACTTCGGTGTACCTCATCACATCACAATCGATAGGAGAACTCTGTTTTGGTTACTTTGAAGTCTAACAAAAAATTTTGACTTCATAATACCCGATAACATCTCGCTGCTAATGGAACAAATGTATTGACGGCTTAGGGTAGCAATCATGGCTCACACTAATGAATCATAAACAGAGTTATTACACATCGTAGTGTTAAAAATACAATCTTTATTCAAAGAAAATTTTAAAGTAACATCGTTCAAGCTAGTATACAGAGAACTACTCACTCAACCCAGTGATTTCTTGTTAGATCGATCGGCTACAATTTGTAGTTAATAAATTTTATCCTTTACCAGAATCTTGTTACATAATTCCAAAATTATTTGTTTTTGAGGATATCAAAACTATACACATGTATAGAAAAATACTCAGCACAGTGGGGCCGCGGCATAGTGGAGACGTTGCATAGTTTGGTCCAGTATAGATTTAATCTGACAGTGATTAAAATCACTATCATAAGAAACGCTTCGATGCAAATCTGTAGATAATATTTAATTTTAAGAAGTTGGTGGATAGTTACAAAAGCAACATCAACTATTTCCTTAATTTTATCCAGATTAGTAATTCATAATTCAAAAATATAATATAAAATTATATATTATATAATTGTTTTCAAATTATTATTGATTTTGATTTTTAATATGTTAAAAGTAATCATTTTGAACCTACTTTTTTTGTCCTTTAAAGTGAAAGTTTTAATAAAAAAAAAATGAATTTGTTACCATAACTTATAGTTCAACTTGCAAGTTTGAAATTGACATTATTAAATAGAAAAAAATGAAATTTTTAAGATTAATATGCAATCTGGAAATTTTATAATTACTATTTACAGTACATTTATTAGAAAAATTCGATTTTTTTGCATTTTTATCGTAATAGATAACTGAAATAGAAATAATAGTCATCATTTCCTAATAACTTTTGGTGTTTAAAAAGATTCTACAATTGAAATATTCAGAACTCAATTAATTTTAATGATTTACTTTAACTAAATGAACCAATCAAAACAAAGTTGTTAAAAAGATTTACTCAATTGAGCGTATTATAAAATTTGATTATAATTGTAAAAATCCATTGTTCAAATTCATGTGAAACTAAATATCATTTTTTTTAAGATTTATGATTTAAATAGTAACACGTTACAAAAAAAATTTGGAATATTATAGACTGGTAGTAGCACACACAAATTAACGAATTACAATGTAAAAGTATTTACTTCTGTAGTTGAATACTTTTATCATCATATCAAATCTAATTCAACAATAAATACTTTAAGAATATTAGAAATTAATGATTTCAATTGTTTGTATAGAAAAATCTGGTTAAGATACTTTTTATTTGAATAAGGAATATTTTTTCGATTTTTAAGAGTAATAACTTAAACTAAATACGAATTGTAATCATTTGACGTATCGTTGAAAAAAGTAGGTCTAGTGAGGGTGGGCAAAATAAATCGTAGCCACAAAAAAAACTACATAGTAAAATAATATTAACATGAATATAAATTTCTTCTCGCGAGGGGACACTATAGTGATAGGATCCTTTATATTTATTGAAGTTATTGAATCTAAATGAGGTAAATATCAAATGATTTGAAAATTTTATTCTAACTCAAAAAAAATGCAAAATTTTATTGGCCACAGACGGATTTGAACCTCGAATCCTAGGCATGTTAAACAAAAGTGTTATCGACTCGGCAACTGTTCGTTGCTTTCGTGACTTGAAAAAATTGTCTATTTAAGCTAACTCAAATTTAAAAATTACTTTTTCGACTTTAAAAAAGTAAACAAAAATCTAATAAGTTTAATTTCTTATGTTTTATGATCTATATTCTATGTCAATTAAATTATATAATATTCATGAAAGTCAATATATTCTCCTAATAAGATATTTTAAAATAAAATAAAATACAAAACCTAAAATTTTAATAGAAAAATAGCATATTTTTGAATATGGTAGCCATTTGCGCATANCATATTTTTGAATACGGTAGCCATTTGCGCATAGAAGATAGGTCGTCGGGACAAATTTTTTTTTTAATTTTATAGTACATGACATAAGCTTTAATTTGACATATGTTTAAAGGACGCAGTATTTCCGGAATATTTTCAAAAATTAAGTTGAAAAAACCCAGCACAGGGGGGTCGCGGCACAGTGGTGACGTGGCATAGTTGGATCAAGTATAATGATATCTGACAGTGATTAAAATCACTATCAAAAAAAAACGCTTCGATGCAAATCTTTAGATAGTGTTTAATTTTAAAAAATTGGTGGATTATTCCAAAAGCTTCATAAACTGCTAGTTCCTTATTAATATCCTGATTAAGATAAAGTATGTCGAATGAAAAAGGGATTATTAAAAAATAGTATTTCCCATAAAAAAATTATATTGATCAATACACTTTTCAATAAGTTATAGCATTATAATGTTAAAAATGTAAAAAATAAAATTGAGAATTTTCACACAATAATAGCATTTGGTAGCCATTTTCACCTTGAAGATAAAATAAAGTCCGAAATTTTTTTTTTCCATGATAAAGTATATTACATTAGCTTTAATTTAAGATATATATAAAAGTGTCAGACTTTCCGGAACACTTTCAAAATTTAAGTTGAAAAAGTCAATTTTTTGTGAAAAAGTTGTCATTTTGAATCCCCCCCTGTAGGCAGGTAAAAAGTCAGATTTATAAAAAAAATATACCAAATGATAGGTAAAGACATCATGCATCTACAAAAAAAAGAATTATATTGATCCATACATCTTTCGAGAAGTTATAGCATTATAAAGTTAAAAATATAAAAAAGAATTTTTTTACAAAAATCGTATTTTTTTTATTAAGTTTAATGTCTGTTTTCACCATGAAGATAAAATAAAGTCCGAAATTTTTTTTTACCATTATAAAGTATATTACATTAGCTTTAATTTAAGATATATATAAAAGTGTCAGACCTTCCGGAACACTTTCAAAAGTTACGTTGAAAAAGTTCTACTTTCTATATGCATTTTTATGTTTTGAATCCCCCCTGTATTTAGGGAAATGGTCCGATTTAAAAAAACAGTATGTCGAATGAAAGATCTATATAAATACTACTTCTCATAAAAAAATTGTAATGATTCATACATTTTTCAAAAAGTTATAGCATAATAAAGTTAAAAATGGAAAATACAAAATCGAAAATTTTCACACAAAAATAGCATTCGGTAGCCATTTTCACCATGAAGATAAGATAAAGTCCGAAATTTTTTTTTTTCATGATAAAGCATATTACATTAGCTTTAATTTAAGATATATATAAAAGTGTCAGACCTTCCGGAACATTTTCAAAATTTAAGTTAAAAAAATTAATTTTTTGTGAAAAAGTTGTCATTTTAAATCCCCCCTTGTGGGCAGGTTAAGGGTTAAATTTATGAAAAAAATATACCAAATGAAAGGTAATGATATTATGCATCTATATAAAAAAGAATTATATTGATATGTTTATTTTTGAAAAAGTTATGGCACTTTTAAGTAAAAAAAATTGAAAAAATTTCGAAAATTAGCGATTTTTAAATTTGTAATTTTTTTGGAGGTTTCCCCCTTTTACGGGGAACGAGGGAATTTTTTTCAATTTTTAAGGGTAATGTCTTCGACTAGATACGATTTGTGATCTTTTGACGTATCATTGAAAGAAATCGGTTCGGTGAGAGCTGAGAAAA